ATGAAGTTAATAAGCGCGTCGGGCCTTAGCTTTCTTATTGATTCTACATTTTGTATAATCCATTTTTGTGATTAGTTATCTTAACATCCGGCTGCACAGGCCTATCATTAATCAGGGGCATTTTTAACATCAGTGAATCATCTTTTCACACATAAATTCTTATCAATCATTAAAGAAATTTTTATTGTAATCTCTGAGGTTTGAAGTTATGCCAACATCATCAAATTAGGCCACTCTGGCGAGAATATAAACAAGTGTAATTCATTTTGCTGATTAATGATTTTGATCTAATGTCAACTAAAAAACAAATAACATTAGTTAAAAAGTAAAAACTTTTAATTAAAAAGGAGTTTTCTTAGAAAATTATAAAAAATAAATAATAAATAATTTGCCAGGCCATTCTATACATATTAATATTTTGACATTATCATAAATATATATATTTAAAGATACCATTTCTCTCTATAGTTTTTGTTTTGAGGCATAGGTATATTGTGCGGAGAAAAGAAAAGGGAGGATTTAAATTCACGATTCAAAAAGGTTTACATTAAACCAAAAACAATTTTTGATCTTAATTACGAAAAATCTCCACTCCCATTACGATTTCTCTTAATTTATTAAGAAGAAATATGCATCGAAGAAAATAATGAATATTTGTTAGTTTACCGAAAGAGCCATACAAGTATAATTCTAAAGGAGAGGGATGCCCCTTTCCCATATTAAACCATCTTGCCTCTTGTCATCTAAAGTATTGAGACCTAAGGGCGTTAAGGCTTTTCTTGAGTTTTAAATAGTATACTGTTGACTACGGTATGCATAGGATGGTGGCCAGAGAATAGGTAGTTCAATGGTAAATAATTTAAAGTAAGCTATTTTAATAAAAAAGTAATCTTACGAAGCGAAATACTGTAGTGAAGGTCTTAATAAATTTATTTAAAAAATTAATTTATTAAAATTATAATATGAAAAGAAAGAAAGTCTACAAATTTTAAAAGAATTCTTAATAATGTCTTAGTTATATTATAACATTAATTGTAGCAATCTCTTGAAAGATATAGCAATAATATACCTGTTTTAGAAGCTAAATATTATATAATATTAAATATATCTTGTGAAAATTTTAAATAAGGATTATTATTGATACTAACTATTTATATTTTATTTCATATTATAAATAAATATTTAATTTATTTTTTATTTCCACAGAAATTTAATAAAATCAATTCCAGCATACCATTAAAATTAATATTGATTTGATATTAAAAGGTATAGGAAAAACTATATTATTATGGCGAAATTCATAACGTGGAACCTCTTTATAATATATATGACACATACCCATTAATCCAAGAATAATCAGTAAAATAGCATTTATATAATTGTACAACATATTACTTAATTTAATATCAATTATTTTTTTTATCAAAATTAGTATTTCTAAAAAAATTTTTAAAAAAATAATTTTTAATAAAAGTTGTGTAAGATTATATAGTTTTAACAATTGAGATTAATTAATTATTTTGGATATTTGAAATTTTTTAAAATTGAACTTTAAACTTCTATTTGCTCAAATGGATATTTGTTTAAACTTTTTTTTAAAATATGAACTCTCTACTTATTATTTAAGATATATCGACAAAAACATTATATTTATAAAAAACTATATCACTTGTATAATAAAATTTATTTTTAAGAGAATCATAAATTATATTGATCTATTGATAGATGGTTAATTTAGGATTAATTTAACATCTGACTTATTAATGTAATTAAATGTCAAATGGTATCTAATAGTAATTTTATTAATATACCTTCTCCAATCAATAAAATAATCTAATATTTTTTTTCAATGTTCGATTACAATTATTTTAATAATCACTTATGATACCAAAATAATAAAAAGTAGTTCTAGTCCTTTTTACAACTTTTAAAAGGCAAATTTATTGAATAAGAATGTAAGATCCTGAATTTTATCAGCGCTCAATAAAGTAGGATTAAATGCAAAACTTTATTTAAATTTTAAATAGGTAGATGGTACTTTTATTTTATATGAATTTTGATTCTTCATCAATTATGACCACACCCTGCAAAAATGTATCATATTTAATTTTACTACAATCCGTCTACACTAAATATTTGTAATGGTTGTTTATTTTAATTTTTGAACTTTTATTTTGTTTTTTTAAATTTTAGACAGTTCAAAATCTACATGTACTTTAATGTTATGAAAACTTGTTACATGTACTCTGGTAGTACATAAATATTTTTTAATAATATTTTAAATATATAATAGAAACCTTGAATTTTAATTTAATCTTTAAAAATTTATCTAAAACTTTTATCATTATTTAATATATCTGCCGCAAGTTATTTACTAACCTTAAGTTTATATATTGTAAGTACTGGTTCATTAACAATGTTTTATAAGTTTTTAATTATTTTCTATTTATTTCTTATTGATTTTTATATACTTGAAATACTTTTTATAAAATAATGTGAAATCTATATTTTTAGTGATGTATATATTTTTAATATTATAAGCCTTTTCATTCTTGATCATAAATAGCGCCCCAAAGGGTAAAAAGAATTCTGTAGTCCATAATTTGAAACACATATATGAAATCAATTTTTATATCTTCATATATCTTTGAGAGGTATGTTATTGTCCCCTTTATTACCTAAAGATATTTGGTCTTATGTTTTTGATCTTGAATCCCCTCTATAAATTTACAACGCGTTGTATGAGAACATTGGTATAGGAATTGAATCACACAATGCCAGCCTTCACACTATTTATTGTTCGAACCACCAACTAACGTAGAATTGTGTTTTGTTCAACAATTCTACATTGAGAGAAACTGTAAAATTTGTTGACCCATAATTCATAAAATATTTACTAGGATTTCTTGTCTCATTATGTATTCTCAATAGTAAATAAGCATAAAGGAACCATTAACTTTTACATATTTCCCCAAGTTTTACAATAAAAGTTAATAATAAGAATTGATTTAATTAATTCTCATCAAAATATATAAAAGAAAAATTGGAGTGGGTTGATATTTTTTTAAGAATATCTTAACTTGGGCATCAAATAAAAGCTAAAAAAAGGTTTATACTGATACCCTTCTCTTCTTGTGGTTATGATAGGGTTATGGAAAAATATCCTAGCATATATATCTACGTGGCATCAATAAAGCGAATAATCGATTGGCTGCATTAATGACATTCTAATCTTCAGAGTGAGATTTACTGTACAATGAAGAAGAACAACCTAGAAACGGCAAAAATAGTGATGTATGAAAAGACATTCGAAGGGAAAAGATGTTAAAGTGATGATTGAATATTTTAATTAGAAGTATTTTAGCTCAAAGATAATATAAAATAATATTTTTTTATGACATATTACTTCGCACAGAATAAAAATCGAAAGCACAGAATATTTTTTTGAAGTTCTCAGAAGAAATATTAAATCACTCGAAAATTTTTATTAGTAAGGTATTTTATTTCCAAATTAAAGTTAATAGAATGAATTATTGAGTTTTATTAAATCAATGCTTTCGGGTTAAAGTATTGGAAGGGAAGTGGGGGATTACAATTTTTAGAAATAATATCTTGTCATGAATATAAAATTAAAACTAATATATCGATAAATTTGTTGCATTGATACACAAAAATATATGTCATTAGGGAGCATGGGGTTGGGTTAAATTTTCTAGTATAATATCTCAACATAAATATCAAATAAAAGCTTATTTAAAGATTAATTTATAATATTGATACTCACCTCTTCAGAGTAAATATAGTGGGGTTGGGAGTTAAAACAATATTATGTCTTCAGGATGTGTGCTTGGTAAAACGTTTCTAGCTTGATCTTTAAAAAATAACAGTTTATTATTATGGATATAACTATTACAGAGGGTGTGGTGGAGTGGAAAAGCTCAGAAATTCTAACCTAATATTTCAATATTGGTATCTTAAGAATGTTAATATAAAGGTCTAAAGATTGTAGTTTTTACTCACACAATGTCTCTTTAGGAAATCTAACTTTTAAAATTTCAAACATGGGTATTATGTGAAAAATTCCTGATTGCTTAATTTATTCCATGTTAAAATCAAATTTCACTTTTAAGATCCTAGAAATTATAATATAATATATATATTTATGGTTAGAGTGGGATCTAAAATTCGATTTTTTTTATTTATTTATAAAAACTTTAATGAGAACAATAAGTATTTATTTAATATATGTATAAACATGTCCAAAATACCATTTTAGAAAATTTAAAATTAAATTTTTTATTAGTTTTAAAATCAAAAAATAAAATCAAAAAATTTTAAATTTTTTAATGCAGATTTAGGAAGGAACTTTAATAGTATCATTAATCCTAAATTTAAATATATATATATTGTTTTAAAATAAAAGTTAATTATTTATATCATACTTCATTGAGAAATTCTCTAATAATGGGAAATGCCTTGAACAAAACGAAAGCGAAATTTTGACTTTTTATAGTTTATCTAAAATTACCTACTATTTTAATAATTGAAAAAACTTTACTATATTTAAATCAATTAAAATATATGAGGTTTAAACATTTTTTATTAAATTTTTTTAAAGTATAAGTAAATTATGGAACCCTGTAACATATCATCTACATCGTTCTCCATATCATCATTTGATTCAGAGTTTAACCTCTAGGACAAAGGAGAGTTAGCCAACCAACATTTTGTATAGCACCACATCCCAAGGCTTATTAATTGATTGTATGTTCAATTTAGTTTTAAAATTTTCGGTTATTTTTAAAGTATAATTTTATTTCAAATATATAAATATAAATATTTATTTATTTTTTACTGATTTCTAAATCCAGAGGTTTATATATATATATATATATACTATATCTACGAAATTTTTTATTTTGAAACAGAAATAAAAATTGATGTTTACTTTAATGTGGACTCGATAAAACTTCGGGTGCCAAATAGTAGATTTTATAGCAACAAAGAGAATTCCACCTTTCAATACCACTTGGCAAACTAGTATTAAAGTAAAACAGAGATTTGAATAATATTAGAAAATTTCTTTTCCCTAAATATCTTAAGAATACAAAATTACTGATTATCTAAGATGTTTATTCTAATAAATCTTAGGAGATTTTTGCTAAATTAAAATTGAAATGTTGAGCTATGCCCCGAGAAAGAAGAATGTGCCATTTTAATTTCATGAACCAGAAAGATTCAAAAAAAGAAAATCAAAACAGGTTATGATGGATATCGTTCAAATTTTATCGATTTTAAATATGTTTTATTAAAATATTCGAAGCGTCCTAATTTTTCCTTTACAAAAAAAATGTTGCTATCGAGTGACTACAGATTATTATGTTCAGTGCTTGCATCTCAATCCGCTAGTTCTCGGTTCAAATTAGACAGGTAAACTTATTATAAAGTTGTTAAAAATAATAGATATTTCTAAATCTTCTACATAATGTTAAATTTTTTAAGATCTTCCCCCTTACTAAATGATGGGTATTCATGTAATTTAAATTCTCTTATATGATTTCAATTGGTACTCATGTTGAGATTTTTATTATCCACTTTTTACCCCCGTCTTCTAAATCCACCGTGGATACATAACGTGATGAATAACAATCTAATTGATCTTTTTATTAGCTTCCATTTGATATCTATGTAGACATAATAAAAAAATACCCACCTAAAACAAGTATTCTGGTGACATTGAATTTTGAGTTACAATGTATGATCAATTTCATTTTATTAGTTTTCATTTAATCCACGGATGTTTCATAAAAATTTTTTTACCCCCAATCCCTTTATCTCGTATATATATTGTTGTGCACGTATATATTAATATTTTTATTAGTTTTCATTTGATACCTTTGAGATTTTTTAAACCCCCCCCCCCCCCCCTCTTTTCCTACCCCTCCAAAATGATTTATAGATTACATAACTCTGATTGATATTTAAGAAGTATTTAATATAATATTTAAAACAATGGCATATATTCAAGATATATATATTTAGTTTAACTTTTATATATAAAATTAGAAAAATAAATTATGTAACATCAACAAATTACTAAAATATGTAAAGGTTTGTTCAAAATTTGAATAAATTCCAAAAAATATTATAAACTCAAAAATATTCAACAATAGGAATGGGAATTATATGAAAAACAATCACTATGGAAATGACATATTATTTTCTTAGAATACTAATGCTCAGATTTTGGTTTAGTAAAGTTATTGAAATATATGAATTTTTAGGGCATCTTTTTAGATAAAGATTTTTAAGAATTTGGCATAAGAAATACTAAATTGCTTAGAAATTTTTAAATGTTTATTAATTATTTTAAGTGTGATTAACTTAGGTGTGCATTTTTTTAAACATTATTTATATATTTTGTTAATGATAAAAATTTATCATGCTATTTATAATCCATCTCCATTTGTAAAATCGCGCTATGTGATTCCATTTGTGATTTTAATCATTGATGATGGGCTAGGCAGCTACTCTTTAAATTTGCTACTACTTTAATATGTGACTTATACTATAGCTGCTCATCAAATGTTATTTTGCAGAGTTGTTAAAAGATACTCTTAAATGGATCTAGATATAGATACATAGTCTAAAATAATATCTAGATACCGATATTTTAATCAATACAGATATCACATTTTTATATCTAGATACAGGATCTAGATACTTGTAACTAAATCCTTTAACAACTCTGCTATTTTATATTAAATTTGTTTTGAATTTTAATATAATAAAATATATAAGAATGATAAATATTAAAAATTATAAAATATCGCTGGTAAAGTTAATTATAAAACAATATTATTACTAATAAGAGAAAAAAAGCTAGCATATTATATTATTTATTGAATTTATAAATAAAACAAAAGTTAGTTTATTTTATCTAGCAAATTTGTCTTCCATTATATTATTCTAACAAATAATTTTATAGCTTACATAATGATGATACAAACTACTATACTAGAATAGTTAATTTTTATTAAAATGGACTTAAATATTATATCTCAAGAAAATTTATACAAAATTAAAGGTAACAATCTATCATTAAATTTGTAAAACTTTAATTATACTCTGATCATTAAATTGGTATTTTTTTAATTAACAATTACCAAGTAATATAAAATAATAATGAATTAATTATATTTAAACTCTTTTAAATATAATTGCCTTTTGATAATCATAAACATAATTACATTATAACAAAATGCAATAATTACAAAAGATTTTGATCCATTAATCATGTAATTTATGATTAGGCATATTAGGATAAATGATAAATATGTCTATAAAAATTTATATAATGTAAACCCATAGTTGTATAATATTATTAGTATAATATTAGTATAATATTATTAATATAATATTAGTATAATATTATTAATAAAATATTATTAGTATAATATTATTAGTATAAATTTAAATTATGAATTTTTATTGTTTTTCTTTCCATCAGGCTATAATTTTGACTAAATATAGAAATTGTTCAAATTCAGATGGTTATTATATTCTTAATAGATATTCATTTTAATCAAATGTATAATAAACTTTAATAAATATTTGGATATAGCTTATATATATATTTAAATAATACTTTACGATATTTATATTTAAATAATAATTTACGATAAATCAGTGACGAAGCGTTAAGTTTACTACTAAGGAAGCAATCAAAAAAATATTTTTAGTCAAACTCAAACCATAAAAACATTAAGATTTATAAATAAGTGGTATTCGTCTTTGTTTTTGAATAAAATGATCAAGTACTGCATTATAAAAGTTATCGCTAGATTTTAAATTATAATTTTTTTTCAATTGAAATCAAATATAGATTTGATAATCGATTTTGGCTCATCCTGTTTCTGCATTAAGATTTGATTCTTTTTAAAGATGAAAAACTCTGTTCTGCACTTGCTGTTGTTGAAGCCAAAGTCAAGATGAATTTGCATAATTTAAAAAACTCTTTAAAACTTTTCATCAAATTGATGCATAGTAAAATTTAAGTATTTCATTAACATTCTTTTTCTTTCTAAATTTAACATCCCGAAACACTACCTTTAATTCGGTTTCCAGCTTGTGTAAGTCAAAAAATCGAGAATAAGTGTCGTTTAAATTATCTAATAAATATTTTGGGGATTTATTATTTGGGAATTAACTAATATCTAACAATTCGACAAAAATATTTTTTGGTGTAAGACTATGAAATAGAATTAATCAAATCAATGAATATTGCTTGATAGTACAATAAAAACTGCACTATTTCTAAATGATGTTTCAATAGTAAATTTTCTTCCGCGAGGAAATAAATTAATACAATATAATTTCCTCTATTCACTGAATTAAAAGATTATCATCACCACGGAATACGAGCTCCTGAATTCCAAAAAAATATATAAAGTTGATCAATATTTTCAATATTTCTCTATTTGATTTGACTTTCGAATTATGCTGTTCGATTGATATTATGCGCATCAAATCTATCATATTTTTATACGCCTTTGGGCAAATTTTTTAATTTGAATCATTGACTGCAAATGAGAGATTGATTCTTTGCAGTTTAACTGCTTTGAAAATTATTCATATCCTAAAATCCTTTATCATTCCAAACATATTTTTCCTTTTTGAATAATAGGCATGATCAACAATATAGAGAATTAAAAAATTTACATCCAGTGAGCCATTCATATTTTTCCTATTTATCGATAGAAAAATTACGAAAGCAAGTTTTGATTTCTTTTTTTAAGTTTTGTAAAATTGGTTTTGGTCTTCTTTTTTCAATTATCAATTTTTTCGCATTTGAGTTAAATGATAATGTTAATAAATTTTTAATAATACAATTACAATTATAAAATTTATTTTAAAAAAGTAAGTAAAAAATTATATATAAAAAAATTTATTTCTCTTTTATTTATTAAAAAAATAAGCATTTTTTATTTGCTTCCTCAATGCTTATTTTTTAATGGTAAAATTACACAATACCATGTGATTTCTCTTTATGTATTAAAAAAAATAAGCAATATTAAATTTGCTTCCCTTATATTTTTTTTAACGTAGTATAAATAATAGTAAATTTTAACGTAGTAAAAATAATAGTATTTCTTAATATATTTAAAATAATATTTATTTTTTAACGTTATAAAAATTACATTAATCTTTTTAACGTTATAAAAATTATATTAATCTTTTTAACGTTATAAATTATATTAATCTTTTTAACGTTATAAAAATGATATTAATCTTTTAAAGCGTTATAAAAATTATATTAATCTTTTTAACGTTATAAAAATTATATTATTCTTTTTAACGTTATAAAAATTATATTAATCTTTTTAACGTTATAAAAATTATATTAATCTTTTTAACGTTATAAAAATTATATTAATCTTTTTAACGTTATAAAAATTATATTAATTTTTTTAACGAAGTCAGTTTAGTTTATTTAGCATAGTACACAGATTATATTAAGTTTATTAAAAATTTTGTAAGAAAAATTTCAAGGGAAGCAAGGTTTCCCTTGCTTCTATGAACGCTTCGTCACTGCGATAAATTATATTATTCAAATAATACTTTATCTAATAAAGATTTAGTAATGATATAAAAAACATCATTAATAAATTATCAAATATAATTAATCAATATCGTAGGTCAGGTTGTGTCATAAAATAATTTACCTCCTATTTTAAATTTTCTTATAGCCTCTATAAATTTTAAATAAGATTAAATATGCAATTTACACTAATTTGTAATTAACGATCAATACAGATTTACAAAAACGAGGGGATTGAAAATTAAACAAAAATTAAGCTATGAAGTAATACGATTTTATTTCAGAAACATTTAAAGATTCATGGTCAATATATTTGATATGATGAAAATCTATAATCAGGGATAAGGACGGAGTGTTTCAGACTTCCCAGGAAAGAAACATGAACCGGATAGAAATAATGATACTGAGATTGTTTAACAGTGAAAATTCCGAAAATAATATTATAAATTTCATTTAATAAATGACTCATTCCTTAATGTTACCCTCTGTTATAAATACCATTAAAATCATAATCAATTTAATAAAATATTTTATTTTTACTTCTATTATTCATGATATCTATTATAATTTTTTTTTGGAATAAAGCATCAATATACCATACGATTTTCTTAATTTTATTTAATAAAATTATCGTACTTTGCGCCTTATTAAAATTTTTTTGTGATGTAGATTTTATATCTAATTTTAAATAATAATGTATAAGAGCAGATAAATAACAAAATTAGACTTTTTAATTATTTGTATGTCATAAATATATAACAATAGATAATTGTGCAAAGATTTTATAATAATGGACAGAAAATTTTGAGTCTATTTATCGTGAGAAAAATTATTTGGAAAGTACATTATGATACATACGGTTGATAAAATAATATATTAAATAGAAATAAATGAAGAAGTTGTTAAATGAGCATACCCATGAAAGTTATGATAAGGTAGGGAAATAAAACATCTAATCACATATTCAAGACCTAAAATTTTTAAATACATCATTGAGAAAAGAAATATAAATGAAAATATAATGCAATGTTAATAAAAAACTGATTTGTTAGCAAACAAAGCTTCTAACTGACCTTTATAATACACCGATCAATATTTTAAATAACTATACCCTTTTTTGCAGGTTCTATTCCAGATTAAAATAATAATTTAAGAGTGTGTATTATATATATTGTTTATTTTCTAGTAATAAATGGAACAAACATTAGAATTTTAAAATATAAAATAACTGAATTAACTTCATTTTATAAATAATTATATAAATAATTATATATATTTAATATTCGTTTCTTATGTATATTTATTTTACTTGATATTTCATGAATCTTACCTTCGCCACTATAGAAATCTTTATGATTTATTTATGAAAATAAATTTCTCTATATATTAAAATTATACCAAAAATCCAATGACTATGGCATTACTCGTCATTTAAAATAAAATTCTTAATAGCGTCTTGAATAGGGATTTAGATTTTCAAAAATAGAAACAAGTACACCTTTTAACGTATTTTAAAAAAGAATATAATTTTATCTTACTTAAAAAAATCTGTAAAAATAATTTTTTTTACATAGAAATCGGAAGAAATATAAATTCAAGCTGGGATTCTGTTAAATAATATTTTTTTATAATGCTCTATTATTACATATGATTGAAATGTTTGGGAATGGATATAAGTTATAAATTTCAAGATTTGATTAACATCATATTTTGGAGGTTAATTTAAATTTAAAAAAATATATTATTATTAAATCCTCATATTTCAAATGAAAAATATTTGGAATTCAAAAGAGAGCTCACATTGTTGGAAATGGGAATTACCATCTAAAATAATTAAATACAATAGATTGATATGATTAACCAAATTTCAAAATTAACAAAAGGTTGGTATTTTACTGTATGTCAATGAATTATAATAATAAAAGGATGGAAGAGGGGGGAGGGGGTGAAATATATTTTTGGATTTTTTTTTTCTGCAATATCTAAAAATCATCAGAAAAAAATGGAAGTATTTAAGAATAACTAAATTATTTTAAAATTAAACTCACGTTTTAAAACCTCGTCCAAATCTGCAATACGATAAAATATAATGATAAAATTTTTTAAATAAATAAAATTCAAAAAAGATTTCTTTTGAGGGTTTGCTTGAACGAGTTACGAAAACAAAACAATCAATGACGTATCTACGATTTTTCTAAGGGGCCGTTTTTTGGGAGGCTGTTTAAATTTTTTTATTAACTATTTATATTTTAGGGAAAGAGATGCTGATCATGAATTTAAGAGTATTCTCCATTCTTTGATATGCCTTTGACTATGAAGTATTTGCCTAACCAATCATAATATATCGAAATTAGGCCTAAAGCGATTATTCGAATTCTTCGAAAAAATATTTTTATCTCACCAATTTCGAATTTTCTTTCTCGTACTAATAAAAATTAATGAATTATATTTTTTACCATTTAAAAATGAATAATTTATTTTTATTTAATTATTATTAATTTAAATAATTTTTGAAAACAAAAAGATATACTACTATATAATTTAGTTTTTAAGAAAAATAATTGACTCATTATATTTTTATTTGTCCAAAGTTTGAATTAGTTTTTATATCCCAGTTCTTGTAACCTTTAAATGAATTGAGGTTTATTTTTCAAAGAGACAAACCCTTTTAAAAATATCAGGATTTTAAAATATTCGTTTTGGACCACTATTTTACTTTGTAATACGCATATATTATTCCTTAAGGAGTAAGAAATTGAAAGGAAAATACCCATTTTTACTCCCTACCCCTTAAAATATTTTACCATCTCCCTTAGCTTACACCCTGCCCTTCTGAAAGATATATGGGGGGATGATGATTAATTTTTTTAAAATGCTGGTTTAAACTAAATAGTAGTAGAGTTTTAAATTTGAAACTTTCTTTTCCTAATTATGAGGTCTGTAATAAGTTTCAGAATATTTATACATGAAGGAAGAGTTAACTGAAAGAAGTGGGAAGTGACAATAAACGGTTTCTAGGAGGTAGAAGGAAAGATGAAATAGTATAATATCCACTTTTTAAATGTTCTGTATCAATATAGCAATGCTGGGGATACGATTTCTTAGTTTTTGTAATAACTTTCGTTGCTTTTACTAGAGAAAATCGAAAAATGATTGAGTAAGAAAATTATATATATATCTGGAGTAATTTTTATAGTGGCTAAGAGTCGCTGTAAATACAGAATTTCCAATTTTGGTATGAACCTACCCCAAGGAAAGAATATTCTCAATAATTTATTAATTTATATGCAGTGGATTATGTTAAAAATATTCTTATACCCGGTTTGAATTGAACCGATTTAATGGTCATTGCCAAAAATAAAGCACAATTTTATAATTATCTAAACAAAAGTATGGACCAATCAAACAAATTTGTAATTCACACTCGAATTGATTGTGGAGAGAGTAAGCCGAATAAACTAAAGAGTCGATTTCCCTCATTAAGCATCTGATTTAAATGTATGCTGTGTGGAGTTGATAAGATTTTAAAATGTGCTCGGCATATATGAGATCAATGTTAGAAAAAACATCTTTTAGTACAATTTTTTATAATAATAGAAAAATGATAAACTCAATATTTTGCACAAATTCAAGGCTAACATTTTATTCAAGAAATAGAATACTATTTCAAGCAGTAATTAAGTTTGAAATTGAATGTCAATATAGAAAAAACGATTTTTTTTTAAAATTAACCAAAATTAACTATTGGTGTCCAAAACTTTTACATTTCGAACACGATAATGTAATAAGTTATAAATCCAATATAAATTTTTATTCTCTAAATTTAGCGAATTTGAGTTTTTATAAAAATATGAATATAACATCTAAGTTATTGAATAATTTGATTATGTATATCATAAGATAAATTACGAAAAGGGCCTTCTCCAACTTAAAATAAATAAATATTTTAAAGATTATTTCAAACTAAATATTTTGGGCAATTACCCAACTTAGCGTGCATAAAATCAAATGTTATTTTTTTTTAATAGGTGATATTTTTTATTTTCTAATAGGCCTTACATTTCGTTACTATTGGATAATTTATAAAATATAAAATTTATATATTTTTTTTTGAAGTTATTTATGTAAAGTAAGGAGTTTTCCTAGAAAATGTTTATGATGATTTTCCGCAATTTTAATAATTTTTAGTAATACAACTATATTATTTTTAATTTTACAGAGACCTGCAGATACGGCCCGGGTAAAGTGTAAAATTTCTTTAAAAAAAATACATGTGCCGGCCTGTATATCTTAAAACCAAATATTTTAGATCTTATAGCTATATAAACTAAAAATTAATAAATTTTGATTTAAAAAAAATTCATGCCAGATCTGAGATTTTTAAAAAAATAATATCTTGGTCCGCCGGGCTTGAAAATATAAAACCCAAGCCGTGCTAATGGAAACTCTGCATTTCTCTGAAATTTATTATTGATATTATTTGTACATAAAATATAGAAATTGAAAACGGTATTGGCTATACCTTAATTAAAAATTTTAAAGATTTTGAGGGCCATTTAATAAAACATGTTTATTCATTTATTAAGAATATAAATGAAAACTTAAACTAAACAGAAAAAAATACATAAATTAATATAATATAGAGCAGCTTGCTAAAATAAGACCCGATCGCCAGGCATGATAGATGGGTGATAGAGATCAGAAACTTTATTTAATAAAAATTTTAATTAAATCTTTTAACTTTTATAGTTTAATATATTAGAATGATATCATGTTAATATTTTATTTTTTCGTAGGATAAAATAAGATATTTATTATGCAAAACAAAAATTAAACCTGTTAGTTAGTTCACCATTAAATTAAACCATTATCGTACAATAGTATAGAAGAGGAAAAAATTTGGGAAAAATAACCAACCACCCCATTCCCCTTATCTGGAATGACAACCTAGCAGAATTTAAAAAATATACTCTAAGGAGAATAAGATATTGAAATAATAAATATAATTGAACCTCCGGAGTGAACCTAATCGACTCCTTATAAACGAAATGAACCTTTACATTTTTATTAAACCATGAAGTAACCTAACCTTTATATACCAAATGGCTAAAAGAAGAAACTGAATCTATATTATATTTTTTTCTTAGCCTGTTTAAAAACCGATTTATTTTATTTTTTTAAAAAAAATTATACTATAAAAATTATAATAAAATAATTCTCAACTAACCACTTTCACTTGGAAAATTTATAAGATTATTTTGTATTTTTTTTCAGTGTTAAATGACCATACTCCATCTTGTTTTAATTTTTTTTTGAATATATTATATATTAATATTAAAAAATATTTATTTTAATTATTATGAAGTCATTTTTTTATGGAAGAGGGGGGGGGGGGTTTAAAATCTGAGTGATTTAATTGATATCTTTTTTTGGGGGATTTATTTTCCAGGATATTCTAATATTTTTCCCAAGTGGAGGGCGAATATTTGTAATTTTTTTTTCTAAAGAGTTTTTTATGAAAGGTATCGTAAAATGTGAAT